TAGAAAGATCCTTTCAAAAAAAAAAAAAAAAAAAAAAAAAAAAAGCAGCAAGATCCGGCAATATGCTGCATATAAGAAACACATTTAATTAAAAAACAAATTCACTGCTGGGCATGGTGATGCATGCCAATAATCCTAGCACTCGGGAGGCTGGGGCCAGCCTGAACCATATAATGAGACCCTGTCTCAAAAGAAAAGAAAAACAAACAAACAAAAACCAAATTCACAGACTGAAAGTCAAGGGATAGAAAACAATATTCCATGTGACAGAAAACCAGAAAAAATCTGGGGTAGCTATTCTATTTGCAGACAAACTGGATTTCAAGCCAAGGCTGATTGAGACAAAGAAAGTCACTACATCCTGGTAAAGGGAACAATCCAAGAGGAAGAGATAACAATCCTAAATATATGTGCACCAAATAGCAGCACACCCAATTGTACAAAACAAATACTACTGGACATGAAAATCATATAAGTACTAATACATTTGTTATGGGGGACCTCAATACCCCACTGTTGCAAGCAGACAGATCAATTAGACAAAAAATCAACAATGAAATGCTAGAATTAAACCAAACTTTTGAACAAATAGACTTAGTAGATGTCTACAGAGTGTTCCACCCCACAACATCTGAATACACATTCTTCTCAGCTGCACGTGGGACTTTCTCCAAAATTGGTCATATACTAGCTCATAGAACATGCTCAAGTAAATGCAAAGGAATTGAATAATCCCATGCAAATTATCAGACCATAGTGCAATGAAACTGTAAACCAATGGCAAAAGAAATCACAAGAACTTCATAAACACATGGAAACTAACACACTTTTGAGCAACCAATGGGTCACAGATGAAATTAAAGGAGAAATCAGACAATTTCTACAATTAAATGGTAATGACAAAACAATATACTATACCAGAATTTATGGAATGCAATGAAAGCAGTCCTATAAGGAAAATTTATAGCAGTGAGTTCCCATATCAGGAAAACAGCGGGCTCAAATAAGCAATTTAATGTTGAACCTCAAGCTTCTAGAACAAGAAGAGCAAGTCAAGCCCAAAGCTCATATGCGGGAAGAAATCATAAAAATCACAACAGAAATTAATGCAATGGAGACTAAGAAAACAATACAAAGAATCAATGAGTTGAAGTGTTGGTTCTTTGAAAGATTAAATAAAATTGACAAATCCTTAGCCAGCCTTATCCAAAAAAAAAAAGAAAGGAAAGAAAAGACTTAAATCCATCAATTAGGAATGCAAAGAGTGAAATCACAACAGATCCAGAAGATCATCAGTACCTACTTTGAGAACTTGTATTCTTTTTTTTTTTTTTTTTTTTTTTTGGTT